TTCCTCCAATCAAGACCTTTTTTGTTTGAAATAAACCCTGGAATTCAATTCAAGCATCTCCAATTGCTTAACCTAATTTATGTCCATCAATCCATCATGCAATGAATTCATTACATCAATTTGCTAGCAAATTAATTAAAGAGGTGCAGTATTCTTAAAAACCAGCAAGAGCATAGATAATTTTTTTTACACAAGTACACCTAATTCCTATAAAATCAACATACACATCCTGTGTTGGGAAAATAAATCAGCATGCAAAAGATCACAAATAAGCATTCAAAATGTAGAATATAGCAATACGAATTTATTTTCAGGCATATCAACACTTTAGGAGTGCAAAACATCATGAAATTCAGCTAAAAAAGCCACAAAATTGTTCAAAAAAAATGGCATGGGCGGATCATATTTTTGAACAAAAATAGCACTCAATGCTTTCACAAAAGGCTATGCAGATGAGAATATGCGAATACAATATCTATTTCATTCAAAATACAACATATATGATCAGTGCTAACAAAAATTAGCAAGCAAATACAAAAAATAATCTACAAATTACTCAAATAGTGTATACCAAAATATAACAAATGCACAAACAGAACAACAACTACTAAACAGAGACATTTTGGGAGCCTATACATTTGAGAAAGTGTTAGTTTTTGAATAGTAACAAGTAATGATGGTTTTAAGACATCAAATGTCTCTTTAATATTTGACCCATTACCTAACGTGGCTAATTTTAGGACATCTTATTCCTCTGGATTTATATCAAATGCCTGTTAAACAATCAAAATAAATTCCATCAAAGTTGACATGTAGCCCCGAATAGAGGCCTATCAGAATTAACTATTACCTCCGTCCCACTCTTTTTGTCTACTTTTGACTTTTGGAACTGTTCATCTAACCACTTTGACTCATCAAATTCTCTCAATGTGTAAGCCTAAATATAGTCATGTGTGATCTTGTTTGATTTGTCTTAACATATAGATTATTAATATCTAATTTTTATAATTTTTTAATATACAAATTACAAGATAAAATGGATTAAAGAAGTGCATTGAATGGTGTGCCAAAAGATAAGTGGACAAAGAGAGTGGGATGGAGAGAGTAATTGATAATTAATTAATTACTGAGAAGGATCTCAAAACAAGTGATTTATAAAGCTTGTCAATAAATAATAAAAACAAATATATCATTGTGTAGAGTTTGACTGTCTGATCACAACGGTTCAGTCGGATTTCAATTCGGAGAAAGTTGGACCAAAAATTGTACCCCGACTGGGACCTAAATTAGTTCCAATTAGAGAACGCCGTGTAAATCTCGCAGAAGCCGATTTCCGTCGTTTGAAGATCGGCTAATTAGAAACCTTACTCAGCATCTGCGACCTCTTCTCCTTCCCTTCACTATATAAGGAGCAATTTCAAACCTCATTTCTTCACCATTCTTTCTAATTTGTTTCCATGACAATTCTTTATATCTAATCTTAGTTAGAGTTTTACACTCTTAGGGTCTGTTTGGTACACAGAATTGACAGAATTAGCATTTAATTAGAAATTGAGATTCTATATAATTGATTTGGATGGAATTGAGTTCTCTAATTCTAATTTATTTTTGGCATTACCAATTACAAACTCACATATTTTTGTGTTATCAAGTAGCAAAATTGAAATTGTTGTCATCCATTCTAATTCCATATTTTGAATTCTGTGTACCAAACAATACCTTAGTTATTTTCTTCATGCTTTATTTGTTCATTTTGTTGGTATTCTTTTTCTAGACATTTACAAAACTATGACTTAAGATAAAACTTTAAAGGTAATATAATATTGAAAATACTTTTGACTTTAAATTTAAGTCTAATTTTCCGTTCCACTATTTACAAATAAAAATTCATCCCAAATATATTATTAGAATCATTAGAAAAATTAATAATCCAAAAAATAAAAATTTATTTTGGATTTTCCACTGATGCGATCTAAAATTTTGGATATCCACAAACTGAATATCCGGAGATTTCCAAATCAGACATGGAATAGATTTTGTTGATTTGAAAACTTTGAGTATCTTAAAACTTAGATTGGGTTGGATCAGATACATCTATCTCGTGTCTTGTCGTGTTACATTCAAATAGTTTGGAGCGGTTCGGACCACAAGCATATCCTATTTTGTCTCATAATTTTTGGAGTCGCGACAAAACAGAACCAATTCAGTTTGTCCTTGTTGGAAATTAGAGATAAAATATACATAAAGATCGAAATGGAACTCATTTTTATACTTGCATCAAAATTATGAAAAATGAAAACAAAATGGATTATTTTATAAAATGTCTTAAAACAACCTACACAATAAGACAACATGCAAAAATTAAAACAGAATTTATTAAGAAGCACAACTAACAAAGTATCGAAGGAGGAATGTTAGGTTTGGGCTAAATACTAATTCAGGATAGCCTACTCGAGAGTGCTCGATATCTATTTTGAGCCCAACATTAAATATCAAGATATTAACTGTATTTGTGTTTATATGTTTATACATATTTATATAACTATATTATTAGAGCATTTACATCGGGACAAACGGGACAAAATGGTACACTTTTATGTTGTCGTGGTGATGTCATATTTAGAATTAGGACATGATGGGTTCAGGATAAAAAATGAATCTCAAATAAAACAGTATAATTTCAAAATGATTTTGGAACGTTTTGGAAAGGGCCAATTGGAACAGGTTTTTATGCCCACCCCTAGCCTTACTACGGGCTTGTTCTTTAGGGCTTGAACTTGTAGAAATTAAGAAAAATAAGAGGGAAAAATATTCTGTATATTCAATTGTTCTGTTTAGTTACAAGGGGTTTCTCCTTTATTTATAGGAGAGGATGATTCCAAAATAGACAAGGAATACAAATCCTACAAGGAAACAAATCATAATCAAACTAGGAAACAAATAAATCAAGATCAATCCTAATTAGAATGGGATTCGGTCATCAAAGGATTTGGACTTCTCAAGTTCGGATTTCTCGGAATTCGGACCTCTCAGAATTCGGATCTCTCGGAATCCGGATTCCTCGGAAGTCGGACTTCTCCGGATCCGGACTTCTCCGGATCCGGACTTCTCAGTTCCAATACCCCCCCTCAAGCTGGAGCATGCGGATTCTGGATGCCCAGCTTGGATAGTAAATGAGAAAACGGAGCGGAAGCCAAAGCCTTTGTAAAGAGATCTGCTAGTTGATCATTGGTGGAGATGTGGCGAGTACACAAAACACCTCGTTGGATTTCGTCACGTACAAAGTGGCAATCAATCTCAATGTGTTTTGTACGTTCATGGAAGACCGGATTAGCGGCAATATGAAGAGCAGCCTGATTATCACAAAACAACCGCATGGGCTGTTTGTGACGCACACCA